ACGTATTTGTTTTGTTTAAGCCATCCTGATAGCCACAGCTGTGTGTGCTCTGCCGCTCCTGAAGACACGCTGGGAACAGTACATGTGTGTCCGGTGGACAGGGAGTCGAGGATACACAGCGCTGCTCAAGTGCAAACTAAAGCCAGGTTCTAAAGAACACACTGCAAGGATGGAGGAAAAATCTCATGTGCAAATTCCACACCACTCACCATGCTGTCAAGGAGATACATCTAGGGCAGACAGCTTCCTGGAGATGCCTATTTCCTCAGATGGGATAAACAGTCCAGTAGTTATAACCTCTAAGTTGTTCTCAGGCAATTACACATAAACAAATAGATATACTTTGAAACAGATTGCCAGCTCTGGGCAGATAGACTAGGCAAATACATGGAGCTAGCCTTCACTTCTACTCCACAGAAGAGAAAATTAAAAGCAAACAAGCCATCAGCCGGGACCTGGTAGATTGTTGACTTTGGGTTTAATGAGGTTTTCAATTGGGCTTCATTGTTTCCTTCATGCCCGGAGAAGTGTAGTGAGGTCTGCTGAGACCCAGAGAAACCCACGCTGCTAATGCCAAGCAGGTTCTTGCTCTAGAGTCATCGGCACTGCCACACTGTTGGGGTCAGGTGATGGAAATGCCTGGCCCAGGAGCAGGAAGCCTGGGTTCTGGTCCTAAAGCAGTCACTCACTGTTTGTGATGAGAACTAGGTCAGTACTCAGAAGATGCCTGCTTGCGCTACGCACCACACAGAATGCTTGATAGGCAGTATCACCCTGAAGCCCCATCTGGAAAGAATTATTATCGTCCCTTGTGTCAGTGCATGTTATCACTATAGCCAAATACCTGAGGCAGGTGCACTTTCTACAGTATAAAAGACTTATTCAGCACAGAGTTTTGGAGGCTAATGATCCAGGGAGTGCAATATCAGCTCTGGCAAGGGCCTCTGGAAGATGGTTGGCATTTGTGCAGAAGCAAAGGGTCACATCACCAAACAGGAAGCCAGAGAGTGACCCGGGGGTCTAGCACACCGTATGACGGTTCACTCTCAGTGAAGCTCAGGGACTCCCAGCTACTGCAGTACACTTGGGGGGAAGCTTGCCCTCCCATTAGGCTGCACTCCTAAGGGCCCTGCCTCCTCCTGTACCATAACTCTGGAGACAAAGTCTCCTGCACAGAACTCTTCGGGGGACACACTCAGACCACAGCAATCTCTTATTTCAGAGGTTCTTATCTTCCCACGGAACACATTTGCCACTGATCTTTCAGACCCTGGGCTTTGTGAACCTCCCTGTCATTGGTGAGGGCCCAGGCCCTCACTCTTTTCTCTGACAACTTCTTCATCGTCCCTGTGCCTGGACACATCCTTAGCACACGGCTTTCCTGCAGCCCTCTTGATGGAAGCCCATGTTTCCCCAGGTCCTGCCCTCCATTCCTGCTTCCAATCTATTTCTTCTCTGTCCTTCTTCAAAGACTCTGGCTCTGCTGGAGATCATGCTACCCCACCAGTCTTCATTGCTGTCATCTCCTGGCCGCTTGCCAACACAGTTCTTTCCTTTTCTACTTCTGCTACCATTTTCATGGGTGTCAGTATCCTGGTGAATAACCCTACCAGCATCTAAATCCCTTACTCCCTTAATGTACTGTCTTATAGTGATTATTTTCTCCTATTGACTTTAACCAATCAACCCTATGCATGCCCTTGGCTTTGACTTCTCTGTTAATTACATTACCTCTAAACCACAATACCAAGTGGCCTGTTACATGCTCCTGCTTTGATGTTCTAATCACCCGTATCAGTTTAGGTCACACTAAGATCAGCAATCCACTGAGTGGAGCATCCGAGCTCTGACCAAAGCCCAGACTCTGCCTTCTGGCTTCCATCATCTCTCTCCCATTTCACTGATGCTCTTCACTACCTTTGCGAACTCTCTTCTTTTGCTATTTTTTATGATTTGAGTCCCCCCAGGCCCAGGTCCTGGGTTGCTGTTCTTCTTTATCTGACCTTTGGGTGGTACCAGCCATTCCATGGCTTTAAGAAAACACATATGAATGACCACGCTTGAGCTCCAGTCTTGTGTATCTGATGGCTTGGTGTCTCTACCTGGATGCCTTGGCAGAGTCTCAAGCCTTTCAAGCTCTCCTCAGCTCTTCCTCCCCAACTTGTCCTCTCCATCTCGAGCTGATGAGGCAAAACTTAGGCTCTGTGTTCCTCCCTTGTCCTCCTCACCCCAGCATGTCCACACCCAGCCCAGCAGGAAAGCCCACCAACTCTGTCTTCAGACTTCCCTTTCCATTCACATCGCTCCATCATGACCTCCACCTGAGCTGTCACTTTTCTCTCTGGCTTGCGGAGTGTTCTGGTTGTCACTCTTACCCTGGGAGCCCATTTGACTAATAGATTTTAGGAAATATGAAGCAGACTTCATCATTCCTTTCCTGAGCTTCCTGTTCTTCACTCCGCTCATGTTCTTCAACCACACAGACATTCTTTCTATTCCAACCGCAGACTGAGTGTCTTCTTTTAGGCCTTTGTGTTTGTATGAAGTGCTAAACACACACACAAACATGTGTGTACTTGTGGGCATGCACATGAACATGCTCCTGCATGTGTGCGCACACACACACACACACACACACACACACACATGCACACACACGCACACATGGCTCTTCTCAGCTTATACCATTTTCTCAGAGGGGTTTTCCTTGATCCCCAGCCCCTGGATCCAAGGTAGCTTTTCTTCCTGGTCACTCTGCCCTATTGCCAAGTTAAGTTTCCACCACAGAATGCAACATTTTTAAAAAATTATATATTTGTTTATTGGTTGGTTTTTTACTGTCTCTGTTATTGGTTAGTTTTTTATGTCTCTCTGCTATAATATGAACTAGAATTTTGTCTATTCCTGGCTCCCTTTCTAGCTGTGAGAAAACTGGCAGTTGGTGAAAGTTTAGTATAGGGAGTGAATGCATGCAGGCATGAATGAAGAGATTCAGAGACACTAAGCGAATGGCCCAAGGTCACAGAGCTCACAAGTGGCCGAGCCACAGTTTGAATTCAGACTATGCAGCAAGCCCATGTTTCTGAATACTTCACTCTACTGTCACACAATGTCGTGTGGCCGAGACTTCCATTTACAAAATGTTTTCAGACACAATAACTGATTTGCTCTTCACTGTAACCTCATAGGACAGAATCATAGCCTTGCTTTTCCCAGATATGGGAAAGGCTCTGAGTGTTTTAGTAGCTCATCCAAAGTCACCAGCAGATCAACAGAAGGACAGATAAGTGACAAGTTGGGAATGTTGTTTTCTAAGAAGTCTGCGTATCTTTCATGTTCTCATGCTGATGGCTGAGCATGTTTTACACACTGCAATTGCTTTTTGGGCCTCTTGCCAGAAAGTCTAAGCAGGGAGCAGAAGCACATTAAATGTGTTGAGGCTAAGCAAGCCTGCACTCAGGAAAAGCAGTCATTTCTGACTTCTGCTCTGCCTTTGCATGAGGATTTCCAAGCCACAAAACAATGTAGTTGGGGGATTCGGGAAGGTAAGAAGGAAAGTTTGCTGTCTCCTAGGAGACAGGCCTTTCAGATCCAACTGGGTATGTCCTAAGGTGAGGATCTGTGTCCTCCACAGGTCTGGCTTTCTTGCCTGCCAGTGTGTCCTACCTCATCGGCACCAACCTCTTTGGTGTGCTGGCCAACAAGATGGGTCGGTATGTAACCTGGGGACCTGGGAAGAGCTGTAGGAGCCCAAGGTGGAAAGCCCTGCATAGGGCTTAGGGTGACAAGCAATTTCTCTGAGACCAGAATTTTAGGGTAAAATTTAGGGTGTAAAAATTGCCCACTGGGAGGAAGGGTGGTGGGTGTGTGCTGGGTGGATACGAGAAAGGATGGTCCCCAGCTCAATGCTGTAGAAGGGGCAGTGTACCCACAAGGGACGGTACTTGCTTTCTAGCTATTCTGTCCACTTAAAGAGATGAGATAATCCCCAGAGAAAGCCGCTGTGAAAAAAAGAGCATGTACTTTGGGTTCGGTGTTGTCAAACTGTTCATAGAGCCCTGGGAGGTTTGACAGGGGCCTCTGAAGCCACGAAGGGGTAGCACTGGGGGTGGAGCACTATGCATCCAGATTCTGCTCCGATGATGTTACAGTGCAAACAGCTGCAGCTTTAGTTTTATCTTGGGAATTCAGAATACAGAGTTTTACAGTTACTGCCAATGGAAATTTGAAGATGGTAGGAAATCGAAAAGTTATTTGCTTCTTTTTTTTTTTCTTGGTACCAGGGATCAAACTTGGGACCTTGCACTTGTCAGGCAGATGCTAGTGCTGCTGAGCTACCTCCCCCATCCTTGTTTGCTTTTTGAATTGGACATCCAAAAATCAAATAAAATGTAAATGGGTAGGAGGTAGTCTAGACTGGGAAGTCATACAAATCAAGCTTGAGGGCTTCCCCCAAGGCTGCCTTTTGAGTCAGCAAGTTCCTCTTCTGTGGGACGTGAGAACACATCACACTGCACCATCCCTGCCTCGCTACATGCAGCAAGGGAGCTGGATCTGAGCTGGTGGACAATCAGGACGCAGGATGGACAGGGCAGATCTGAGTGCATGCTGCTCCTGTAGAAACGCAGTTACCCCCTTGTGTCCTCCAGGGCTGTTGGAATGAGGGTGGGTGGGTGGGACTAGCCAGGGTGGTGGATATGGGGTGATGGGTGGAAGGAATCTCTCCCCGATGCTTGTCTCGTGATGGTCCTTTTCCTGCAGTTGGCTGTGCTCCCTGGTTGGGATGGTAGTCGTTGGTGCCAGCCTGCTCTGCGTAAGTATAATGAGGCCTAGGGGAGAAACAGCCAGATAGATATTAAAAGACTATTTTAGTTCAAATTAAGCAGAGCTGACTTGACAGCAGAAATACTGCTTCTGAGTCCAGAGGAATAGCCCTGGGGGAGAACCACCGACGGGGTGGGGAAGGAGAGGGGAGGAGGGCGGTGGGTGGTCGGAGCAGGGCTCTGAGGCTTGGTGTACAGATGCACCAAGGGAGGCTGGCAGCAGCAATGATGCATTTCATAGCTTCACTTACTTACGCACGCTGACAGGTCTCATAAGTCTCCACAGTACATACCATCATCTATGCCTTGGTCTCTGGCACTGTAGTATTTGGTAGAAGAAAGAAAGAGGGCCTTGCCATTTGCAAGAGTCCTGTCTTGGCTGCTTTTCCCTAGGTGCTGGGACAAAATACCCAATACCCCAAATTAAGGAAGGAGAGGTTTATTTGCTCATAGTGTGTGGAGGTTTCAGTCCATACTCGGCTGGTCCCAAAGCAGAGTGGCACATGGCAGAGGGCAGCAGTTTATGGTGGTGGAAGACTGCAGAACCACAAGAGTAAAAGGGAGGAGCACCAGACAGCAGCAGACAGCAGCAGACAGCAAGCCTTTCCCTCCCTTATATTCTGTGCAGGCTGCCGGCCTCAGGGCGGGTGTGGCACTCACACACACAATCCCAGCAGCACTCACACCCATAATCCCAGAATTGGACCATGAATCAATCACAGACTCTAGAAGCCCATCCCATGACTGCCGGGGCGGGGCGGGGGCACACACGTCCAGACACAACCACGTGTCCCTTTCAAGCTAGGCCTGCGTTTCCTTTCATGCCTAGCACACTGACCTCTAGGCCTGGGGGTGATGAGGGCAGAGGCGCAAAGCCCTAGGCACAGAGCCTGGGGTGGGCTGCAGTTCGGGCTCTGCCCCAGCTTGTCACTTGCCCTGTGTGTGACCATGAACTGCTTACATTCAGCCAGCAGTCCACAATCCACACCACTGCAGCATGATGTGTGGCGCATCGTGGCCCTCAGTGAGACTCACACTGTCCTGATGACAGATAGAGGCGCCCTGACGCTGTTATCAGCCAGGCATGTCCACACAGTGTGCTAACCCATTGGCTGGGATAATGGGTTTGAGCGACAGTGACCCGGAAGGCAGGCAGGGGACCTGCACCATAGGGAAGGCAAGACTCTGCGGTTGGGCAGCGGGGATGAGCCACTGCAGGGATGAAACCATGCCACTGCCTGGGAGTAGCGGGCTGTGGAGCTCTTCTGCCTTTTTGCTCCAGTGGGTACCAAGTTTGGGATTTAAATAAAACCCTTGGATGATGACAGCATTGGAAAAGGTGCGTGGACAGAACGGTGTCTGGGTGGAGAATGGTAGAGGACGAGGAGGAAGAGTGCGGGACCCTTGGCACTGCACAGTGGTGTCCGGTGCGAGGTCCAAACCGGGCCTTGCTGCACGCTGGCTCTGCAGCTTTGCAGAGGACACTTAATGTAGCTGACACCAGTCCGTTTTCATGGCTTCATGTGAAGGTACCGATCCTTCTTCATATCGAGGTGTGAGAATTCGGACCTCGTGCACACAGCACACCCCCTGTACAGGCAAAGCTGTGCGCCCGCCCTGCCGGCTGGGGCCCGGATGAGCCCTTTCTCCTCCCCTGCAGGTTCCCCTGGCTCGCAGTATTGCTGGTCTTATTGGCCCCAATGCTGGCCTTGGCTTTGCCATAGGTAAGAAGCCCCTCAGATGCCTTTCTTCCTCCTTTTTCACCAGAGGAGGAGGGTGGAGAAGAAGGAGCGGGAGGGCAGCCGTCTGGGGGGATGGGTGAAATGGGGGAGGAGTGGGGGAGACGCCCCAGATGTGTGCGCATGGAGCTGACTGACTATGTCTGGTGTGCTCTGGCCACAGGCATGGTGGATTCCTCGCTGATGCCCATCATGGGGCACCTGGTAGACCTGCGCCACACCTCTGTGTATGGAAGCGTCTACGCTATTGCTGATGTGGCTTTTTGTGTGGGCTTTGCTATAGGTATGTTGGCTGGGGAGTGCAAGGGGGAGCCCCAGACCTGCAGACCAATCATCCCGGGGCCGGAAGATGTCTGGCCCTGCGACATCCTCTGGGTCACCTAGTGCTCCTCGTGTAGTATCTTACAGGTGATGTAGGCTAACGCGTACTTGCGCGTTTGCTTTATTCTTCACAGGCCCGTCCACCGGGGGCGCCATCGTGCGGGCCATTGGTTTCCCCTGGCTCATGGTCATCATTGGGGTGGTTAACATCATTTACGCGCCTCTCTGCTGCTTCCTGCGAAACCCCCCAGCCAAGGAGGAGAAACTTGTAAGGAGCCCAAGTGCTTAAAACAAGTCACAGCTGCTTCTTTGCATCGCCACATCATTTTCTTCTATGCTCGTTTCTTCCCTCTGTTGATCCTGTCTCTGATTTGCCACATTTTCTGATTCCCTCTTTATATTTATGTTCCTATTGTGTCCTTCCTTATTTTCCCTATATAAATAACTACACATTATTATTATTATTATTATTATTATTGTTGTTGTTGTTGTTGTTGTTGTTTTATTTGAGATCCGGTCTTGCTATGTAGTTCAGGCTGGACTTGAACCCACTTATGCATCCCAGGCTGGCCTCAGACTTGCAGCTGTCCTGCTTAAGCTTTCCAAGTGCTGGGATTACAGGTCTGGGCCAACAGGTGCAGCTAAGAAGGATCTTAAGAAGGAGAGTGGAGCCAAGCATGATGATGTGTACTAGCGACCCCAGCACTGTGGCAGGCTGAGGCAGGAGGATTCCACGTTCAAGGCCAGACTGGACAGTTTAGCGACTTTCACAACTCTGTCTCCAAAAAATTCTAAGCTAAAACAAAACTAGAACAGACATAGAAAGACTGGGGCTATAGTTCAGCAGGAAGATCCTGGGTTTAATCCCTAATACGGGGGGTGGGGGGAGGGAGGAAGAGAAGAGGAAGAAGAAAAGCAGTTATCTTCTAGTTGCTATAGTTACTAGAACAGTGTAAGTTAGCAAACTGTTGCTTCCATAAATGGGCAGAATTCCACTGGGCATATTCATTCATTCACCCATTTGAATCTGCCATTGTCTACAGCCATACCACCCTGAATGCTCCCGATCTCGTCTGAATCTGCCATCATTTGGGTTTGTTTTGTCTTGTTTGAAACAGGGTCTCACTGTGTAATTTATTTTATTTTATTTTTTTCAATATTTGAGATTTTATTGGTTGTGTTGAGGATCAGTACACATGATTCACTTTGTACACAATTCTTAACACACATACCAAAAAAAAAGCCATATATAGTTTTTCAGTTGTTTCAGTGACTTTCCAGCTTCAA